TAGACCCTCAGGGGCAGCCAGGGGCAGGAGCCCAGAGGCCAGCGGCACAGGCCGGACCTGCCCTCCCCCTGCGCTTCCCAAGCACCCCCAGCTGCTCAGGGCCCGTAAAGGAAGCTTACAGACCTCCTCATGGAGGCTTGGGTGACGTGGCATGAACGCAGGGAGGATTTGGGCCTGAGCAGAGTCGGAAAATCACAGGATCCTCGGGAGCTGTTGGCCAGAGCTGGTCCACTGCCATTCGAGAAAGCGCAGGGCTGCCCCTGCTGCCCAGGCAGACAGGAGGTCAGGCCGCCCTGAAAACCACCCCCGGGCCTCTGGGGCTTCTGATGCCTCTCGGGTTGCTTTCCTCCCATTATTTACTTGTATTTAGCTCTGATCACATGTGTCTGTTACTTCGCCAGATTTGAGGCCCACGCTGGATGTTGGGACCGGGGTCCCTGCCTCCGTTTCTTCCCAGCGCAGGCGAAGCCGTGGCCACCTCCTGAAAGTCCCTGGTCTGAGTCACGCACAGACGCACAGGCCATCACGGCTTCCCTGGTGGGAAGCCGCACACTGTTGGGAAGCCTGGGGCTGGCGAGGTGAGGGGGCCCAGGAGCACCACCCCCCACAGCCCTGAGGCGCTGCCTTGAGGCCACCAGTGGGAGCCCGGCCAGGGGGTCGCTGCCAAGCACATCCAGGCACGGAGGTGAAGCTGGCGTAGGAACCGCGAGACTCGGCCCAGGTCTGGAGCGCTTGCCGTACCCGCCCAGACCCCCAAGCAGGGCTGCCTGCCGGGATCTGGGGTGGGGCCCCACAGAGCCAGGCGGCAGTGTCCTCTGGCTGAGTGGCTGCTGTGGGGGGAGCTGGCTCACTGCGCTGTTCGCCTTAGTGCCAACGGGCTGCTGACACATGGTCTGGCTCTCACCACGCATGGGGAGCAGGCAACTCTAGGCCTGGGGACCCCTTGGTCACTTGTCTCTTCTCCTTTTTTAGAAAATGGTTTTTCAAGCTAGTATAAGAGAAATGACTGGAACAGAGTTCCTTTTAGCTTAACAGAATTCCGTGTTGTGGGTGGGTGTGCTGATGTTTCAGAAAAGCTACAGAGAAGGAAAGGGATCGCCTTGCCCCCCGCTCTTCCTCATGCCAGGGACAGCCTGTGCTGAGCATGAGCTGGGGGACGAGTGGTGGCAGAGCCGGGCAGGCAGGGTGCAGTGGGCGGGCGGGCAGAGCTGTCGGGACTGGTGCACCACATCTGCCCACCTTCACAGCATCAGCCAGGAGGCCCCGGGGCCAAGCGCATGGCCCTCCCATGACCTTCCTCTCTAGTGCTTGCAAACAGCAACGCCTGTCCACCCGTGGATCTGCCGGTGGGGCCACATGTGCCCAGTGGAGGACACTCGCCACGGCTGTGCCTCGGCTCCCTCACGTGTAAGCACCTGAGCCACGGCCACCCTTTCTACTTGCTGACCCTTCAGTTCCTCAGAGGGCAGATGCGAGGATCAAGAACATATGCACAGGTGCTCGGCCACCACGAGGGGCTGCACGCACGTCGTGTAAACAAGGAGTTCGCTCATTCCTCACATTTGACTTAAGAGCCCAAACTGCTCTGAAACCAAGTATTCAGAAACAGGGGAAGTGTTGCCAGAAAGGTGGGCGTCAATGGGACAAACCATATGAAAGAGCATTCCTGCTGCCGTGGCCCCTCTCGTCTGCGTGGTCTGTGGCACCATACAGGAGCCCTCCGGTGAGACCCAAGTCACGGCGAGGGACATTTCCCTGGGCACGAGCCTGATGCCCGCCCTGCTCGAGACGGGATGGGGAAGGAGGAACTCGCCGTGTGGAAGCATAATGCTTTGCTTTCGGAAAGGACGTTCCACCCGAGACCTCCGTGGCCTCAGCAGGAGCTGGCGTTCATGGAGAGCCTGAGTGTGGGTGAGGCCCGGCCTCTACCTTGTGCATTTCGGTCTTTCATGGAAAAAATACCAGTGTCCTCCCTCAATTCCGGACATGTACACAGCGGTGCATTTGGGGGCGCGTGAGGCACACGCTTATCCTGCATGCATCCCAGGTTAAAACAAGAGTTCAAATGGCCACATGAGTTTTAGGAAAAAACAATAGTTTCCACCTTAGGAGCATTTTAGAGAAAAATGAGATGTGAGGGGAAAACCCCTCTTATTAAACCAAACTGTGGTGTAACAGCTTCACCACATCCTCCTGCAGGGACTGGATCACGCCAGGGCAGGTTCCTCTTTCAGGGCCCTGCATGGGTCACATGTCACCTGCAGTTAACATGCTGTGTGAAGAAGAGAACCTCGTGTCAGTGGAAAAGCTGAATAAGAGGATGGAAATGATCAGCGGAGAGAAGCCATTGCGGGAACTGTGGGCGTCTCAGCACGGCCACATCAGAGGCAGCCGCCCCCAGACGCACAGCCCCGTGGGCCGGACTCGCACCGTGACCTCCTGTGACAGCAGCTGGAAGGCCGGGGCCTGGGTCAGGGCCCCCCTCGGCCCAGCCACTGAGACCTGGTCGCGCAGCCGGCCCTGTGGTGGGCCCTCCCTCCCCCTCTGATGGGCAGAGGGGCACAGACTACATCTGGAGGGGCGGCACCCAGCTTCCCGCCCAGCATGGACTGGGTCCAAGTGCCCCACCACGGGCAGCCGGTCCCCCCTGCACCCAGCTGTGGCCAGACCCCGTGGGGGCTCGAGCCGTGGGTCTGAACAGCAGCAGTCGGATGGGAGCCGCTGCTCCAGTGCGTGGGCTCAGGGCAAACCGGCCCGCCCGGCAGCTTCAGGGCCACACACCGGGCCCCTCCAGACGGGAGCCATACGCACACTGGCGGCAGGCTCGCCGAGGGACTTCCGCCCGCCCACTGTGCCGCTCAGCTGCCTGGGACAGGGGAAGCCCGCTGCCGAGGCCTCTTCCCCTTTCATCCTGCGCAGATGCTGTTTTCCTGAGGGCCGTGTCACTGCACATTGAGAACAGGCCTCTTCTTTGCCTGCAGCTGCCCGCCCGCCCATCTGCACACCCTCAGCCTCACGCAGGGCCCACTTTCCCCCACACCACTGACGGTGCCCCTCACATTACCCCTCGTAATTACCCTCAGGTCCCCGATGCCCCTCATTACTGCCCCCCAGACCCGTTCTATACACCCCGTTGCTGACCCTACAGAATCAGCTGTGGGACATGATTGTCCTTGGAACAGAATAAAAGGATTGTGGCCTGAGCGGACCCACGGGAAAGCCCACGTCTCCCCACGGGGCCTCCCTGCCTCCTCCCTGACGTGTCTGCTCAGGCTCCTGGCCGATCCGCACCTGGCCCAGCAGCGCAGACACCGCCGTCCACGCCTGCTGCCTATCCGCCCAGGACCGGGGTCCCTCGGGAGAGAACGACTGGTGACCGCAAAGGCAACTCATAAACTGTCAGGCGTGGTGGGAATACCCAGCGAGGTTCAAGCGCCAGCCCTGTCCACTCCTCCTGCGGGGCCTGTCCTCCGCCCCATCTGCCTCCCCATGACGGCACCCCGGAGAAATGGGATCATTCCACACTTGTCACTGCTCTGTGATGGGGCAGCGTTCTGCAGAGTATGCGCTGGGCACATGGCTCTTAGGCCAGAGGAGTGAGAGGCGAGGAAGAGGAGCTCTGTGTCCCTTCTGCTCCCGGACCAAGCGAAACGCAGCACCCGGGGCCTCAGGATGGAGGAGGCCTGCGGCCCGGGGACACGTGTGGCCTGGGCCACCTTGCCCTGCCTCCTGAGGTGCCCGGGCCAAACACTTCGCAGCTCCAACTGCTCTGGCCACGCAGTCGTCCGGAGCATCACAGCTGCCTATAGCTGTGGGTGGCCCGTGACACTGGGGACAAGTGCTTCCTGAGAGCTGGTTGGAGCACCCGGGCCTCTTACAGCCTCTCTGCTGCTAAAACAAGTCACCGTGCCAGGGTGAGCGCCATCTGCCGAGAACCTGTGGCTGCCTGTCGGTCTGGATGTGCCATTTATAGGCAGGTAGCCTGGAGCCCTCCCTGGCCTGCCCTGTGCTCCGGGTGTTTGCAGCGCATCGTACCCTGCAGGCAGCCTGGCCTCAGTGGCAGGTGGGCTCAGGCCACAGCTGGAAGGCCATCTCCCTTGGGCTGTGCCACACAGCACCTCTGGGAACAGCCTGTGGCCTGGGGCGTGCAGTCCGGGTTCCTGAGTGCAAAGCCCATGAGCTCTGTTATCAGCTCCCATGACACAATTCCTGGTTCCCCCAGCTGAGCTTTATTATTGTTATTCTTAAAAATAGTCGGGGTGGGGGGATGTTGAAAGGGAATTTAGGGAAGGGTGGGGTGATGACATGTGTGCCGGCCAACCTCCCCAGGAAGCCCCCCTTGGACGGGCCGGGGCCTTTGCAGAGGCACGTGGGGTTTGTCTGGGCAGTTCCATGACGCGAGTGCGTGGCCCCCACCTCCAGGCCCGGCCAGGAAAGCCGTGGTGACAGGCTCCCCTGCGACATTTCCCCCGTCCGGGTGCCCATCAGGAGGGAGGGACGCTGTGCACCCGCTCAGATGGCCTCCCCCAGTTTGGCTCATTTCCTCTCTGGCTGCCAAAAATCACAGGCCGAGAGTGGACACGGACAAGGCAACAAAGTGAAGGAAAGGCCCCAAACCCGGTGCTGGCCCTCCACTCCAGCCTACCAAGGCCTGTCCAGCAACAAGGCCGGGGGAGGACACAGCCAGTGCACACAGCTCCCAGAGGCACCCCGTCGGGTGCCACACAGCTCCGCACACCCTCTGGAGAGACGCATTCACAGCCCCGGCCCTCCTCTCGGGGCGCGCTATGGGAAGGCCAGTGCATAGCGGTGCTCAGGGCTGCGGCCTTAGTGCCCCCGGACCACAGCGGGAAGCAGGAAGGAATGTGGCACCTCCGGGACGCGCCCCTCACAGCTGCACGTGACCTACTCAGCGTGGCTGATGGACTTCTGGCTGTTTACATACAGTTTTGCACAGGGCAGTGTCTCCCTAATACATTCTCTATTTTGTTTTCTTGCAGTAAATGAAATAATAAGAAACGACCTCTCCAGCACCAGCATCCATTCATAGTTGGTGACGTTGGAACTCACTCAGAGGCTGCGTGGTGTCAATCCACAGGCAGCTGTCGAGCTTCCCTGCAAAGACTCCGACAAGGTGAACTGGGCTCAGCCCTGCACCCTGAGAATGCCCACACCCTGAGGACCCACGTCAGAAGTGGCTCCAGCGGGAAGGAAGGACCCCCCAACCCGTCGCCGAGGAAGAGGCATCTCCAGGGGCAGATGGAAGGTGGCAGGGTGGGATGGGGCAGGAGGTGACCTCAGGGCAGTGGCCCACGTGGCGGCTGGGCCCCTTGGGCACCCCTGGATTCCAGAACTGGAAGTGCCTTACTTAAGCAGCGCCCACCTCAGGACAGCGCGGAATTGAGCACCGAGCTTGCTACCGGGGGAGTGTTCACAGGAGCAACGACTATAAAAACATTTCATTGTGAGACTTTATCCTTCATACAAACTGGGAGAATGCTGGCAAGCTCGGCGTTGCAGGAAAACCTAATGCGTGGGTTCTGTCTACTTCTTCACCTTTTCCTGGGCTGTGACATACAATTCTGCTGCCTTATTCGGAGTGTTTTGAGATCTTCCAGTTTGTCATCTCAGCTCTTTCCCAATCTCCTCCCCCTGCTGTGTTACTGAAACCGTAGGATTGTCAATCGTGGCATGGTGGGATTGCTAGGATATTGTTTTTAATCTGGCTTCCAAATTGGCACAAGTAGGGTGACTAGCACAAGGTAGGTTACTGGATGAAAGAAATCTCTGTCCCAGGACAGACCCCGCACTTGCATGTCTGTACATAGGTAGGCCTGTGTGTGTCTGTCCACCAGCACAGCAGTGGGACCGTCCTGTCTGCCCAGCAAGGGCCTCCACAGTAACAATAACAGGGTCTGTTTTGGAAAATGCATCCAAGACTCCAAAGCTGGCTTCTCAGCCACTGCCACGGGGACCGATCTGCCCTGGAGGGCTGTGTGTTCTCGGCCCTACAGTTAACAGAGCACTTTAGGAAGCCAGGAGAGGGGGTGCAAATACCTGTGTGCCACCAAATGGCAGGATTGGAAAGTGACTGTAAGTAATGCGACAGGACTGTAATATACTGGTTCAGCTGTAAGATCGGTTCACAGAAGCCTTAGAACTCGCTTCGTCCAAGAAAACGATTACCAAAAAGAATGTTTTGATATGCAGCAACTATAGAGTGTTTTCGGATTAGTTACTATTAGCAGGTAGGTTAGTGTGAGCTTTTCTCCTGCATTTTGTACAAAGAACAACTTGTTACGCGTTATTACTCGCAGTGACCTATTGTTCCACATAACCAGAAAGCATGGTTTACTCACAACCTGTCTAAGCTGGTCATGGTGCCTTAGGAGTCCGTGCCCCCTCGTGGAGCAGGCCTGAACTGCGCCTGCACGGCTGTCTGGGACGCAAGGCGGGCAGCAGTGCCACGTGGTGAAGCTCCCCCACAGAAACAGTTCTTTCCGAAATGCTCTTCTGTATGATTATGTCTTCTTAAAAAATTCACGGGAAGAACCAACTGTGTAAGCCACATCTGCAGCCTTTGCACATGACTGAAGAGTGAGAGCTCGTGGCTGCGCATGGCCTGTAGGGCCAGAGCCTGCCCAGCGCTCAGCCACGGAGCCGCATGGTGTGCTCCCGAGGGGACTGTCACATGGAGAGCAGACCTGCCCCTTGGGTCAGTGTCTCTGTAGTTAGGAAAGAGCCAATAAAGCGGTATTTTTTTTTTTTTGCTGGATCTTAGTCTGAGTAATCCATTACATGTGTGGAAAATGCTCCGTGTTTGCGCATTTTCTGCAGGTACGTGAACCTCTCTTGGCTGTAGGGAGTGTTTCATGTCACAGAGCCCGGTGGGTGTGGTCGACCTCTTTGGAGGGAAGCCTGCCACAGGAGAGCGGACGTGGGTGGGGCCCCCAGATGCTCCAGCACAGCCCCCCAGAAGTGCTCGTCCAGCTGTGTGGAGAGGGAGCTCACACAGGCCAAATACTTCTGTCCAGAGAAACAACCCGGGCGAGGCCTTGGCCACACACAGACGCTCAGGCAGTTTGGCCATCGTCTGAGCAAGGCACTGTGTGTGAACCCAGCTGTTCTCTGCCGCCTCTTTCTGCGTGCTTCCTAAGGCCGCCCCCTGCTCCCCACCCAAGTCTTCTGCTTCAAGCTCAGGTAGGAAAATATTATCCAGCTGTTCATAAATCAAACATAGAACCTGGAGCTTGTCCACTAATTAGTCTTCTGAATTCAGAAACAATATGTTGCTTTTGGGACTTCAGAAAACACAAGAATTTCTTCTGCTGAGAGGCTTGCAGTTATTGAGAATCCTACTCGTGTTAAGCAGGTGGCGAGCATGCATGCCTCCAGGTTTCCACACTGACAGAGCTTAGAGGACCCCAGGGTGTCCGGGGAGCACTGGGAGGGGCACAGAAAAGGTGGTGTCGGGGGAGATGGCGGTGGTAGCTGTGGGAGGGGGAGGACTCGGCTGCTGATGACTGTGAGGAGCTGGCCCCCAGGCCCAGCTGATGTCCCATCAGGCCCTGTCAGACTTGGAAAGCTAGACCCAAGGGGACCCAAGCGCCCACCGGACGCAGCAGAAGTCAGGAGCCCCACCCACTACCCCTGAAGGACATACAAGAAGCTATTAGCACCAAAGTGAGTTTTAATAAATCCATCCCATTCCTAAGAACAAATGTTATATTCAGATAAAGCAATATAAGTTTATAAAGCAACAGGTTTCTGCAGAAGAGGTCATGTTTCTGCATGACCCCTGCTTCCTCAACTTTCGTTTCTTTTAGACGTATTTTGAGTAATAAGGAAAACACACCCACGGGCTTGTTTCTAGCACGAGAGTGACAGGTTTGCCCTCCCAGCCATGGACCGGAGCTGAGGCTCCCTTTCCCAGGAGGCTGAGAGGCGTGGGCTCAGCAGGAGCCCGCCCCTCTGCAGTGCCAGTCATGCCGGGGTGGCTTACCTGAGATTCCCAGGCCGCTCTGCTGCCCAGGGGCACGGAGGAGCCTGGGGCGGGCTCGGCCCAGCACCATGCAGAGAGGGACGGGCCGTGGCTCTGACTCCGGTTCACCCCAGTGCCCCTGGTGCCCGTGGTTCCAGCCCTTCCCAAGTCTGAGGCCCCATTTAGAAAAGGTCTCAGCATCCAGTTTCTCATAAGTGCAGCTGTAGCTAAGCCCAGTGGTGGGCACGTGCCTCCCTCTCCAGGGCCCTCCTGACCCGAGCAGCCGGAGCCACCAGCTGGTCGGACTGGCCCACAGCCCCAGCCTGTCGCCCCTGGGACATGAGCACCCACACTTGCATCAAGGAGGGACCTCGTAACAACCTGCTAACCTAATTTGAAGTCACATACGGTGAAGCACATCACATAATTCTTCATGCCAAAAAACTGAGTTAGCAGTAAGATGACTAAGTGTTCCTTTATGCCCAAGCAAAGGCACATCTCATGCCTGCCCCTGACCACCTAGTATGGTCAGCCTGCCCTGGGCTTCTGCCAGGACATGGGGCTCTCGCCCCAAGGACCTGAGTCATTCAGATGGTGCCAACAGAGCTCCGGATCACACATTTTTGTTTTACTTAATACACACAAATTAAATAGTGACGATTCTAGAGGAGGCCACTGCAGGCGCCTCACACCATTTCCCTGCTGGTGTGGCACTGGGCATCCGTGCCTCCCCGTAAGGCAGAGCCACTCCGGCTCCTGGCAAAGCAGCAGGCAGGAAGCTGAGCGGCCTCCACGGCCGCTCTGGCCAGGTGCTGGGGCACAGGGCTGCGGCTCCGCGGAGGGGAGTTCGATGTCAGCGCACCTGTCTCTGCGGCCGCGCCTCTTTCCTCCGTGAGCAGGAAAAGCACTGATGGGTCTCTTTTGGGGGAAGTACGGGTCACGCCTGGAGGAGGGGGGTTGGGCATCTCCCACTGTCCTGGGCCGTTCCCACAGCTGTCGCCACGTGCTGTCCCATTCCAGAGCCTGACCACCCCCACCCCCATCACCCCCTCTGTTCTTCCCATCAAGAATCTGCCACTGTCAACAGATGCCTCTCTGGAAAAAGTGCATTTTCTGGACTTTCCAGTTCATTTCTGCAGAGCCTGCTGCCCAAAGCCCAGGGGCTCTCCCCCCTGCTGTGCCCAGCGCAGGCCCTCCAGGAAGAGCAGGGCCCTGGTCCGCGTCGGGAGCCCACTGGCAAGGGCCCCTCCCCATGAGGCTGTCACCCCCAGGAGGCAGCTGGAGAGCTGGATGAGGACAAGGGGCACTTACCCTTAGCAGCCAGCCACCCCTGGGGGAGGGCATCTCTGTGTTTCCCTGGGACACGGAGGCGTGGACTGTCCCCCTTCTCAGCCCTGCACGCTTGGGTATGGCCCAGGCCTACACCCTGAGCTATGTCCACAAAGCAGGTATGGGGGGCAGAGAGTTTTTGCCTGTGACCTTTGGACTGAGCCCCCCTTCTGCAGAGAAACTGAGAGAATTACTCCTTTGCTCATTGGAGTTGTAATGTCCACACTTAACAAGTGCCACCTTCGTGTCCAGTGGGCTCTAGGAGATACACATCAGCAATAAGACCCCCATTTCCAGGAAATGAGCCGTTAACATCCACACCCAATAAAGGAGCCCACCAGGGTGTCTGGTGAGGTGGGGGCGGTGCCGAGCAGGGATGGGGAATCGGGGCTGTACCCTGGGCAGGTGGTTGGCAGGCAGCTTGAAGGGCAGCAGTCAAGCCATCCTTGAAGGAAGGGGCAGGACAGTCCCGAGGGCAGGAGCATGGGTGCTGCGGAACAGAGAAGGCCCAGGAGGGGAGGGGGCTGCCGGAGGAGGGAAGCCCGTCTTATTTCCCACAAGGCGCTAAGCCCCTTGAAGGTGTTGTGAGCCTCAGTGGACACACGTGGTGGCTGTGGTCAGGGCAGAGAGCCCAGCTTCAATCAGGTCCTCCTGGGTGTGCCCCTTGACACCTGACTGCTGTGTCATAAGGGGCCCCAGGCCACTGAGGAGGCCACTGTGTTCCCTCAAAGACCAGGCTGAGGTCCAGCCGGCGGCCAGCATGAGCCCCAGGCACATGGGAGGACGAGGGAGAACGGGGCAGCAGGCACATGTCCCAGCCCCAGCCTCTGAGCTGCCTGCTGACTCCAGGGGAGGCTGCACGGCCCTGGGCGCCACTGAGAGCAGGTGGTTAGTGGGCACCATTGGGAGAGTGATGGTAATTTGTAAAAGAAAAAATAAATAGTAACAGTGAAAATAAGAACCCAGGTCACAGAGGCCAGGATGGTTTCGAAGGTGAAAAGGGGTTAGATTTGGGACATTTCAGAGGCAGAGCCCCCAGGAGGGAGTCCTGGGGGGCCACAGAGCAGACATCTGGGGCATGGCTGTGGCTGGGACCCTCTGCAGGCCGTTCTGGGCCCAAGTCCCAGTTGGGCTGCACAGACTTCCTTGGAACCACACTGTGTATAGACTCCAGCCACCCATCTCCTGTCCAGGGCCCTCGTCCAGCCAGTGGCAGGGACCGTGGGGGCCCTCGTCCAGCCAGTGGCAGGGACCGTGGGGGCCCCCATCCAGCCAGCAGTGGGGACTGTGGGGGCCCTCGTCTAGCCAGCAGCAGGGACCATGACTTTTCCTGCACATCTAACTCCATTTGGCAACTGTTTCCCCAGGGACCCAACTGACAGGACACCAATGTCCCCAGTATAAAATAGGGACATAATTCCATTCCAAATCTAATGTTCTTCTGGCATGTTATGGACTTCACATCTGTGTCCCTCAGAATTCCTGCGTGGAAACCCTGATCCCCACGTGTTGGTGCTTGGAGCAGGGCCTTTGGGAGGTGAGCCCACGTCGTGGGAGTGGAGCCCTCACAAGAAGGGACAGCAGAGCCAGGCGTGTGCTCTCTGCTCCCCCTGTGAGGACACAGAAAGGCCGCCATCTGTAAGCTGGAAGGAGGTCCTCCCAAGGAGTCCACCATCTGGCACCGTGACCCTGGATTCCAGGCCCCAGGCTGAGAAATAACTGTCTGCCTTCCCCCACACCTGTGGTCACCTGCCCAGCAGTCTGAGCCAGGACAGCGTCCCTGCCACTCTCTGGGCGGGGGCTGGCAGTGGTTTCCTCTCTTCTCACACTATGTCTGGGTGGGTCTGTGTGGTCCTGGCCTCCTGGCACAGGTTGGAAGTGCCCCTCCGCTTTGGGTGTCCAGAGAGTCTCTGGTCAGTGGGTATCATGGATTTCATCAGGAAAGTCCTCCGGCCTGCAGCTTTCTTTGTGGGAGGATTTTGAACCACAAAGTCAGTTTCTTTAATAGATACAGTGTCATTCAGGTCGTTTGTTTTTTGGCTGAGCTTTGCTAGTTTATATATTCCAAGGAATTTGTCCATTTCATCTAAGTTATAGAATTTATTGGCATAAAGTTGCTCATGATATGCCTTTATTACCCTCTTCATATGTGTAGAACCCTTAGTGATATCCTCATTCCTGGCCGTGGTCATTTGTGTTTTCTTGTGTTTCCTGACCAATCTGGCTAGAGTTTTATCATTTTATTGATCTTTTCAAAGAAACAACTTTTTATTTTATTGATAAAATCTGATTTCTTCTGCTCACTTTGAGTTTCACTTGCTTTTGTCATTCAGTTTCTTAAGATGGAAATCGAGGTCTTTTTTCTTTCCTAAGAGAGGCTATCGATTTCCCCCTACATACTGTGGTAGCTGCACCCCACAGGTTTTATGTTATGTTTTCATTTCATTCTATTCAAAATCCTGTCT